CACTTGAATAAATGCAGCTGCTACAGAGGTTAAGCGCTCGAACACGAGCAAGCCATCGTGTTGCTTCCAGCTGCGGTCTCTTTTCTAGTGTCAGGCTTACAGAATCCCCAGGGACTTTGGCTGCCATTTTATCACTTAATAATTGGAACTGCTTGCCCCAGTGTCCTTGGAAGTTTGGTGTTCACTGCAGTACATTGTATTTTTGCTAAGCCTGCATATACCAGGTGAGAAGTTGACAGGATTCCCCAGCAGATCATTTTCTTCTGTAGTGCCTTGGCCACAGTCATAACACACAGTGCTTGGAACATTCTTGAGGCTCAGAGTAGTCGTTCTGACTACAGCATCCTTGCAGCCCAGGGAGGAGGGTTTCCAGGTTACAGAGGACGTTCTGATCTCTTTTTATTGGATTTAATTCACACATCATTTATTTAAAGTATGCTGTTTAACAACGAGCGGTTTTCCTATTCATGGCAGGTACTAATGATTATGTTCTTTTTCTTGTAAGGTTTCATTTGTCGTTTTCCTCCCCACTTGTGTAAGTCTGGCTAAAACTTCCTAAGGGTCAGACAGAGAATTTTAAAAAATCAAGTGGTGTTAAGACCTAGGAGTTTCCTCTACGTGGAAAAATATCATGTCAGTGAATTAGCCTCTCCTTTTGCCTTTCTGTTTTTTTCAAAGATTTATCTGGGGGAGAGAGAGTGTGTGTGTGAAAGTGGCAGCAAGGGGGAGAGGGAGAGAGAGAATCTCAAGCAGACTCCCTGCTGAGAGTGGAGCCTGACCCAGGGCTTGATCTCGTGACCCATGAGATCGTTACCTGAGCCAAAATCAAGAGTCAGAAGCCCAACAAACTGAGCCACCCAGGTGCCCTTGCCTTTCTCTTTTAACACATAGGACTTTAAACAGTGTCTGCTCCTGGTAGGATGGTCTTACAGGCATCTGTCTCTCAAAAATAATTGCTGTAGCAGTTATTAAATAAGAATTTCATCAAGTTCTACGGACTAAGAGACTGAATGCCTTCCCACATAAACCACTGCATATAATTTGGGAATATTGATCTGTGTGCCATATTATCATAAACTTTGCAACATGGGGAGAGGTAGGAATTTTGTGAAATGAGGTCTATTAAAACAAAGATAAGGGGGCGCCTGGGTGGCTCAGTGGGTTAAGCTGCTGCCTTCAGCTCAGGTCATGATCTCAGGGTCCTGGGATCGAGTCCCACATCGGGCTCTCTGCTCAGCAGGAAACCTGCTTCCTCCTCTCTCTCTGTCTGCCTCTCTGCCTGCTTGTGATCTCTGTCAAATAAATAAATAAAATCTTAAAAAAAAAAAAAAAAACAAAGGCAAGCTAGTTAGCCTTGTGGGAAAACTGGCTTTTGGACTTAGACCTGAATTTGAAACTTCCTTCCTTTTTTAAATTTTGGACCATGGACAAGTTACTTAATCTCTGTGACCCTCAATTTTCTTCACTAGTCAAATGAAGATAATTTTTTCCTTGCAAGGTTTTTGTGATAATCTAACAAAGGTAAAAAGAAAGAGTATGATACGTAACAGGATCATAAATATATGATAATCTTTTTAATCACTAAGAGCAGAACTCTGATAGGAATTTTTAAATGGGTATATGTATTTACAAGAATAGAATGGACTCTGGGATATCTACTTTCCGTTTTCTTCCTCATCAAAATCATTCATTATGTGGCGGGCCTTATATTCAAAACAGTCTGCAAAAGTATCCTACAGACTTGATTGAAATGATGAATGATGTAGTGAAGAGAATGTTAAAATATCGTGTAGTGTATTCTGCTCAACATCTGAATAGAGCATCCATATTGCCAAACTGGAGTGTGGGAAATGCCCTTACCTGTCCTTTCTCCTCCTTTGGCATCCCCATTATGGAGGCATTCACTAAATTGAAAGTTGACTGTGTGCCTAGCATAGAGCTGTGAAGAGGAAAGACTAGATCCCAGCCCTCACAAAACTTAGCCCCCTGCCCACCCTCCCCACCTCCTGCCAGGAGACAGACCATAAAGAAGTAAACAAAAAGAAGAAAAGGATCTTTGTAAGGGCCCTTGTAAGGAGAGAGGATCTGGGAGAGCTCACTTTATATGAGGTGGTTAGGAAAAATCTGTGTGGGGAAAGTTGAAGAATTACTGAAAGCCTTCTCTTTAAGTAATGAAGGAATAATCATCCTAACATTCTAACCATTAATTGCTCAGACAATTAACAGAATTTAAATATTTATTCTAATAGCATAGTTGTGGCTATACACTTAGACGTATTCCCGCCAGGAATTCCTGGGCTCTTCATATCATCGTCCTTTACCCGTGTGTCTGTCCTAACTCTGATGCTGGTTGATTTCATGGTAGGCAATGAGGGTAAGAAGCAGTTGCTCTCCTAGCCCACAGAGTGGCAGTTCACTGGAAGGGTGTATGGCAGCCTGAGGTTAATGAGAACAGGAGAGAGAATGTGAGATGATCTGAGTATTCCTTCTGAAGACTGGGAAGTTACTTTGGGTTATGCGTTAAAGCAGCATGTTCTTCTTTGGGGTAAGAAGAGAAAACTTTAATAATTTGAGTTATGCTGGTAGTATATCAACTCTTTTGACCGAGACAAATATTTTTATGAATAGTATTTTTTTTAACAATTTTAGTTTTGGGGGTCAAAAATTAGTGAAAAGTAGTGTTTCCCTCTATGCCCCACCTCTGTGCCACAGCCTTTTCTATTAACAGCATTTTATTACTGTTTGTTACCATCAGGGAACCTATACTCACACGTCATTATCACCCAAAGTTTATAATTTACTTTTAAGATTCATGCTTTCCCTTGTCGGTTCTAGGAGTTTTGACAAATACACAGTGATGTGTATCTACCATTATAGTATCAGACAGGATAGCTCCAGAGCCCTGAAAATACCCTGTGCTCTACCTATTCATTGCTTCTTCCTTTTCCTCCCCGTTCTTTCTTCTTCCTGCCGCTCAAACCCTGGCAACCATTGGTATTTTTCCGATAGCCGTAGTTTTGCTTCTAGAATGTGACATAGGTGGGCTGATAAAGTATTGTGGCCTTTGCAGGTGCCTTCTTATACTGAGCAGTCCACATTCAAATTTCCTCCATGTCTTTTCATGCATGGCCTGATGAAAATAGTCCAGTGTATGGATGTGCTACACTTTAGTTATCCAGTCATCTGTTGAAAAGCATCTGGGTTATTTCCAGGTTTGGGTGATTATGAATAATGCTGCTATAAATATTCGTGTGCAGGTTTTTTTTTATGGGCTTAAGTTTTCAGCTTCTTTGGGTAAATACCACTGGGTACAGTTGTTAGATCACATGGTAAGAATGTGCTCAGTTTTGTAAGAAACTGCCCAGTTGTCTTCCAAAGTACGTACCATGTTGCACGTCCGCTGTCAGTGAATGAATGTTCTGTTACTCCACATTCTCACCAGCATTTGGTGGTGTTAGTGCTTTTAGATTTTAGCCATTCTATAAGAATTTTGTAGTTTAAAGAAAGCTGTTTTTCTTTCTTTTTTTTTCTTTTTCTTTTTTTTTTTTACCTTGTAGAACATGGTAGAGTCTGACAATCAGATGGCTTATTTTTAAGATTTTGGAAATCCATACAGAGTGAAATCCTATTTCGCCAAACATGAAATTCTAACTTAACAGAGCCCTTCCTTATGAATGGGGCTGCCCTTTGACGAATTGTATTCCCAACCTCTCAAAGCTTAAGGTTTCCTGTTTTATATAAGACAAATAATGATACATTTAATTTTAATAAAAGCAGCAAGGGCTACTGCTGTTGCTGAGAATCTTCACCTACTAGAACACCCAGGAGTCTGTCTCCTTACAGAACTTCTGCCTTGAATTCTTACCCCACCAAGGCCTACCAAGGCTCAGACCTCCCCGATATCCCTTCCTGACTGTCTCAGCTCCCTGGCGGTTCTTCCTGTGGGCAGTTCACATCACTGGGGCGTAAGATGGGCAACCAAAACCTGGGCTGTGCTGGTCACTGTTGTTCAGTTGCCTTAACATGTTTGATGGGTTTCAGGGATTAGCCTTTCTTTCATCTACCATTTAGACCCCCACTTTTTTTTCAATGAAAAACTGATTTGTATCTTAACAGTAGACTTAAAACTATTTGGAACTCAAGGCATTTTAAATTAAAAGGCTTTCCCCTTACATGATAAAGCCCACTATGACCCAAGTAGCATTAAAAGAAAAGAGAAAATACTTCTCACCATGGGGAGTTGGAGAAGGTAAATTAACTCTTATAGTGTGTTTGCTATGCGTGTATCACTGGTTATCACTGCTTTAAATGAGCAGATAATAATCACATTTTAGAAATTAGAAAATTGACACTCTGTGAAGTTAAGCCATTTTCCGAAGTTTTAGGCAGTTGCTAGCATTCCAGTCAGGTCTGAGCCCAACACCCCTCTCTTTCCTCCATACCAAAAATTTTGTAGAGCCATATTTAATAAAGCAGTTGAGTCACTGTGAAGTAACTGGTTTTAAAAAGTAACCATTTCAACATGAAACATGGGGGAGGGGGCATGCAAAGGAGATACTCTTTACCTTATGAGATATATATATTCCAGAGAAGTTACATGTTTTGTTGCAAAGAAAATAAAGATTACTTGTTTGAATTGAAATGCGAGGTTATGCTCTTTCTGTAATGTTGAAATATTGCCTCATTTCTTATTCTGAGTTTGAGGTTATTGGGTGCTTCTTGCTCGTGTTATTTTCCTTCTACTTAAATGTTTTGATTTTCACTGTGGCTTTGATCTGTGGTATTTCTTTTGAATTAATGATGCCGTCTTTGAAAAAAGAAAAGTACAGGTTTATATGTCCACTTACATACTGGTTTACAGAGAAGGTAAGTGTGTTTTAATTAGGGATTGTTCTGTCTGACCATAGAGGTTATAGAGGAGACCAGTCAGATATGGAGCCGTACAGAAGCTCAGCCCATTGGCTTTATTCATCATTTAAGAAACATTTATTGAGGCCGGTGGTCCACGAGGTTCTCTGAGTTCGCTCCCAAGCGCATCTGCAATTCAAAATGTCCCACCCATCCCCGAAAACTAAGCCTTCCAACCCCTGTAACCCCAGAGTCTTCTTTGACGTGGACATCGGAGGGGAGCGAGTTGGTCGAATTGTCTTAGAATTGTTTGCAGATACTGTACCCAAAACTGCAGAAAATTTTCGTGCGTTGTGTACAGGAGAAAAAGGCATTGGACCCACCACTGGGAAACCTCTCCATTTCAAAGGATGCCCTTTCCATCGAATTATTAAGAAATTTATGATTCAAGGTGGAGATTTCTCAAATCAAAACGGGACAGGTGGAGAAAGTATTTATGGTGAAAAATTTGAAGATGAAAATTTCTATTATAAGCATGATCAGGAAGGTTTATTGAGCATGGCAAATGCAGGCTGCAATACAAATGGTTCTCAGTTCTTTATCACAACAGTCCCAACTCCTCACTTGGATGGGAAACATGTGGTATTTGGTCAAGTAATTAAAGGAATGGGTGTGGCAAGGATACTGGAAAATGTAGAAGTGAAAGGTGAAAAACCTGCCAAATTGTGCGTTATTGCAGAATGCGGAGAATTGAAGGAAGGGGATGATTGGGGGATATACCCAAAAGATGGCTCTGGTGACAGTCATCCAGACTTCCCTGAGGATGCAGATATAGATTTAAAAGATGTAAATAAAATTTTACTAATAGCTGAAGATGTAAAAAATATTGGAAATACTTTTTTCAAATCTCAGAACTGGGAAATGGCCATTAAAAAATATACAAAAGTTTTAAGGTATGTGGAAGGTTCAAAGGCTGTTATTGAGCAAGCAGATAGATTGAAGCTACAACCTATAGCTTTAAGCTGCGTACTGAATATTGGTGCTTGTAAACTGAAGATGTCAAATTGGCAGGGAGCAATCGACAGTTGTTTGGAGGCTCTTGAAATAGACCCATCCAGTACCAAAGCATTGTACCGTAGAGCTCAAGGATGGCAAGGATTAAAAGACTACGATCAAGCACTGGCTGATCTTAAGAAAGCTCAGGAGATAGCACCAGAAGATAAAGCTATCCAGGCAGAGTTGCTGAAAGTCAAACAAAAGATAAAGGCACAGAAAGATAAAGAGAAGGCAGCATATGCAAAAATGTTTGCCTAATAAGAAATTATATTACTTAAATATGCATTGATTATTGTATAAAGGCAATAAGAAAATTTAAAGGTTTTTGTCAGTTATGTATGATCCCTGATGTGTTTCCTTTGATACTTCAGTTTTCCATTGTTTACAGTTTAGGAATACTGAAAAAAGCTCACTCTTAATAAAACAGTGTTACAAAAAAAAAAAAAAAAAAAAAGAAACATTTATTGAGCCCTTGGGTACTAGGACAGTGTGTCTACAAATAATAAGACAAAGTTTTTGTCCTCAAGGAACTTGCAGTTTAATGGTGGAAGCAAGTAAGTAAGTAGTCGATCTCACTTTCAGATGTTATAATGGAAAAATGCCTATATAGTGCTTAAGGGACATCTCAGAAGCACTTACCCCAGATGGAGATGGCCTGGGAAAGCTTCCCAGAGTCGAGTCAGGTAAAGGAGAAGATGGAATGACAAAGCCTAAATTAAGGTAGTTACTTAGGTGTTGGGAAAATGTTAGATGGATTTCACAGAGATTAGTACAGAATTGACTGATCAAAGTAAGGTTGTGAAGGAGAAGGTGGTTCAAGAATGACTTCCAAGCCTTTACTAAAAGGTGTCATTGTTTACTCAGAAGGGAAATGGAGGAGGAACTGATTTGGGGAAAACCATGTGGTGGTTAGTGCATGTTGAGTTTGAGATGCCTTTGAAGGTGGAGGCAGAGATATCCAGGAGTTGGTTGAATATGCGGATGTGGGGTCAGAAAGGAACTCTAAGCTAAAGATGTTATCTTTAAAGTCATTAGCATTATGGAGGAGAGTTGAAATACTGAGCTGCATGAGACTATGCAGAATGAAGATGCAAAATGAGAATAGTAGAGGGCTGAGGATGGAACCTGGAAACATGGCATCAAATGGACAAAGGAAGAAGTTGAGAAGATATACCATGAAGGAGGTAGAAGCTGACCTTTGCTGAAAATTTAGATAATAGCCCATTACATCTCATCCTATTTATATGATTTCGAAAAACATATGCAAAGCCAAAATTTGGGATCCCAGGAACTTAAATGCTATTCAGAACAGAGGATTGATCAGATAGGAGCCTGTACACCCACAGACTGGACTGAATGCTCTCGGTGCTCCCATGAGTAGTGCTCTCCTCTGTGACTCTGTTGGAAATGGAACTAGAAGCAAAGTCTGTTTGAATATTGCCTTCTTCACTACAGCAGTGGTCCTTCTCGGAAATTTGAACAACCCCAACAAGGTCATGATTTTTACCATTCAGATGAGTGGACACTCACTAATGATTTCTTTATTCAGGCCACCTTCAGGGATGAAGACAAAAAGCCCCAGACCTCAAAAAGCTAGCAATTTAGTAAGCACAGGGAAGAGATCTACACAAAATCCCTAGGATTTATTTCAGAATGAGTGCTATGGGAGAGGCATAAACATTGCGTGAAGCGGGGTCAAAGGTGGAATCTTTGAGGAGGAGATGACAAAACTGGGTTTTGAAGGATATGTAGGCTTTACTGTACTATACAGCAAGCAGTAAAGGAGAGTTCCAAATGGAGGCAAAATTAGTTGAGAGCCTAGAGCATGTTTGGGACTAAAAACTAATCTGAAAGAATAAGGAGTATATTAAAGGAGGAGGTATAATGCAGAATAGGGTACAAAGGCAGGCCTATACCAGGTCATGACTTAAAGATTATACCAAATAACAGTAGAAGACAGTCACCGAAATGTAGAATTATAAGAGCCAAGATAGGCTTCACAAAGAATCTTCCTTTAAGCACATGTAGGGTTGGTTGGTGGAAATGGGGGGAGTCTTATGTGGGAGACATTTAAGGTTTAATGTAAGATATTTCGATAAGAATCTAGATTTAGAAGACTGCTTTTTAACTTTTTCTTTTCTTCTTGGGGAATGGTGAGCGTGGAAACCATTATTGAATGGCTTTCTTAGAAGCCTAATATGTAAAACTATCCAAACTCTGAGAAATTTCTGCCTATGGTCCATGAAGCATGGACGGACAGAGACTTTGCAACATTTTGACCATCACAGAGAACTTTTATTTTCACCCCTAATGAGCCCTATGTTTTGAAAGATTTTTGTCTTTCAGGAAAGTTAATAAAATGTTAACGTCTTGCATTTGTTTTATTAACAATTTCCAGTCCACTCCGGTGTCTGAAGTGCCAAGTGTTTACAAAGCTCAGTTTATAAAGTTCCGGCCAAACCAAAGAAATACTGAACTTAGTCTGGGGCACACAGTTGCAGGTGTTTTGAAATGCTGAAAGTAACCCATGACCCATCTATTCTGACAAAAGAAATCACACTATTTCCCTTACTTCTGTGGATCCAGGGATCCAGGTGGAAGCTTATATGGCACATCTACTCTCATGCTTCAGAGCTTTGTGGAATTACAAAGAATAATTATAATTATACTTTACCCAGAACTGCTTTTCCCTTCAAATTTAACTTTCTTTTTTTATTGCAAAGAGTAATACAAGCTTGTTACAGAAAAATCAGAAGATATATATACCAGCAAAAAGAACATCTAAAAAAATCTTCCAAATCTTTTTCTCTCCAAACATTCATACAAGCCTTTCCTAAAGATGGACTCTTGCTCTGTATTGCTTTTGTAACTGTTTTCCTGCAACACTGTTTTTAATAGCCACATAGTGTTTCATTTCTAATTTTATAATTTACTTAACAAATTAATCCCTTATGATTGGAGATTTGGGTTTTCAACTTTCTGTAATTACAAATAGTTTTGCCTTGAGTATCCTATAACTAAATCTTTATATACATCCTTAATTATTTCTTTGGGATAAATTCTCAGAAGAGAAATTGCTAAGTAGGCATACTTGAAAGACTTCAAAAGGTGCCACCAAAGTGCCCTCCAGAAAGTTTAGTAGTAATTTATACTCCCACCCAGGACTTTGTTGGAGTTCAGTTGCGTACAGGTGAAAAAGAAATCACTTTAGTGTTAGGAAGTAGCAATGCTAAGTGCAAAATGGCTAATAAACTATTAGAGCTGTTGGCTTTCAGAGGAAAGAGATCACTTTTAATAGGGAGTTTGGGGACCTTTCGCAGAAGGTAAGGAATTAGAGAAGGCTGACCAAGAGGAAGGTGCCACATTGACAGAAGGGCACAGGTGGGACACACAAGAGGGGTCTCTGATCTAAACAAGTAAGGGGCCATGTTTGAGAGGAGTCCAGGAAGAGGGACCAGGAGGAAGGCTGGTTGACATAGCAGCTTGACTCCAGGCATTCCTCCCTCTTTGGTTTCTCCTAAGTGTCACACAGGCTGTACTCTTGCTCTGGGTCACAAGGCAGCCGTGAGTACCTGAAAAAGTTAAAATGTTGAAACCAGGAAATCAAACCTCCTGAAAAATCTGTTCACTTTCTGGCAGAGTTTTGGGTTTGGGGTTCAGAATTTTTTTTTTTCCCCCAGAAAAAAAGTAAGAAAGTTCTCTTCCATTTAAAAGTCAATTAGTAATGTATTAAGATGTAAAAATGGAATTCACATTTCAGTGTTAAATCCTTTATTCTTCTTAGTGATGAATAAATTGTTTCACTCATTTACTTTGGGTATTGAGACAAGCTTTTACATATCATTTTCATGAATGTTTCAAAGCCATTGAAATAACATTTCCCTGTTATTGTCAGTTCGGATTACATATTACGACGTGATATTTTTCTTTGTGTTTTGTTGTAGGATTAGTTCTTTAAATGACACACCTGACATTACTCATTAAATCTATTAGTTGGATTATTGAACAATAAGTAGTTCTGAATTCTTTAGCTTTAGTGGTTTTGTTTTATAGCATCAGTGTGCGTCCAGTGTCCCGAGCCACGCTTTTCCTTTTTAGCTGTGTTTTATCCACCAGTATTTTGTACTTTTGACACTCTCTTCATAGATTTGAAGAATGTGGAGAGAGTTTGACACTTGATGTCCCATAGAAATCCTGAAATTAAAAAATGCAGAGCTCAGGCCCGGACTCTTGGCCCTGTTTTGTAGGCCACCATCAAGTTCTCAGTTCGTACCATGAGCCTCCTCACATCCTTCAGTTCAGTGGAGTAGACTTAATTCATGAAGAAAACTCACAGATATTACTGCTGTTTCCCACCTGTATTCTGATTTTCTTCCAGCAGACCTATTCCCAGAATGTTCCACCATCTAATTGGTAAAGTGCACCAATGCTGTGCTACTGTGGGACAGCTAATAGAACCCTTGATTGAGAGGTCCAAGAGCCCCTTTCAGCAGCTGCAGAAAACAATTGAAGAACCAAGAAACTAGAACTCACTGTTACATACATTAGACTGTTAACCAATCCTAAAGAAGTCCTGTCTCTTAATTAGATCCAAGAAGCCGCTGTCAAACATTAGCTATATGTAGGGTCAGAAACCTCTGCCTGATTCATCAGGATATAAGTACACTAGAGGTTTCTAGTGTCATACATTCCCCCTCACCTTTATTGAATACAACTGATACATAACATTGAGTGTAAGGTGTATACTATGTTATTTGATACACTTACATATTGCAAAATGATTTCCACTCTAGTACTATTAGCTTACACCTATATAGCATTACATAATTAGGTTTGTGTGTGTGTGTGTGTGTGTGTGATGAGAACATTAACCATTTATTACTTTAACAACTTTCAAGTATCTAATACAATCACTATAGCATACGTTAGATCTGAAACCTGAACTTTGTACTCTTTGGCCAAAACCTTCCCGTTTCCCCTACCCTCAGCCCCGGTAACTACCGTTCTAGTCTCTGATTCCTGAGTTTGCCTTTTTTAGATTCCATATATAAGTGGTATCATTACAGATTTCATCTTTCTCTGTCTGCCTTATGTCACTTAAAATGATGCCCTCAAGGTCCATCCATTTGGTTGCAAATTTTCTCATGGTTGAGTAATATTTCATTGTGTATATATAATACACTACATCATCTGTCCATCCATCTGAACTAAACACTTAGGTTGTGTCCATTTCCTGCCTGTTGTGAATGATACTGCATTGAACATGAGAATGCAGACAAGTCTTCAAGATGTTGTTTTCCTTTTCTTTGGATATATACCCAGAATGGAGATTGGT